TAGTTAAAATCATTGTAAATACTACTAACCCCGATTTAACTATAATAAAATTCACTGACCAAAGAGGTCACCTTAAAAAAAAAAAAAAAAAAAAAAAAAAAAAAATGTTAATACAAAAATATTTAATATTGTCAATAGTTATTACTCTCTATTATTTGTTAATTGAAACACTTAATGATAAAAAAAAAAACTTCTACAATGGCTTAATTATAGATGTAAAGCTGCAATTACAAAGCTTTTAGAATATTGTGAAAAATTAAGTATACTAAATATTGCTACAGTAATATTAGATCCACAGCTTAAACTTTGGTATTTTGAAACTTTTAAGTGGCTATCATGACTTATTAATTAGATCAAAAATATATAAGTTAGTACAAATTATATAATGAATTGCCAAAAATTATAAATATAATATATTATAAAAATTAATAATAAATATTGGTTTAGTATTATAAACAGATATGAGAATGAATATGTGCCCATTCCTAGTCAAGATACAACTCATATAACCAAAAAACCATCTAATATTATAACACAAATATACAAACAACTATGTGCAAAACAACAAAGTAAATTAGATACATATTTACTAATACCATGAGTAAGTGGGAACATTGATATTTTAAAGTGGTGGCGAATAATGAATCAAGTTATCCAAATCTTGCAAAATTTGCCCGGGATGTTTTTTCGATACCATTCTGAGTAAACAGATGTTCAGTTTAATAGATGGTAAAATTACAATTAACTGTATAAATAAATGATTATCGCCAATCATATTTATTCAAATTTTAGCCAATTAAAACGAACTTCTGCTATATGCTATTTAAAAACGCGACTTGAGTAGATCTTGCCAAAAGTTTTACCGAAACTTGCTAAAAAAAAATTCCATGTAACGGTTTTATTATTTATGAAGATTCTGTACGATTATTTGTAAAATACGAGAAACAAACTTACAACGGTGTTAAAAAAATTTATATAGTACAAAATGTCGGCCAACTGTCGCGATAGCGCTTTAATACTGCTTTAATAGCACTGAAGTGCCGTAGTTATACTGTAACTATTATCAGGGTATTTATATTTATTGGATTTTGCATTTTAAAATTTAGACACGTTGATTCGGATATATTTTAATCCGGTACGGATTTAAATAATCCGTATCAATGTCATAAAATTTTAAATATCAAAAATGGATAAATAAAAAATGCCGGATAAAACCAAATTTATAACGATAGCACAAAATCAAATTACTGTAGCATGAATAAGTTGTATCTACATGCATAAAACCAGTTTATCAAATATAGAAGCATTAATAAAATATAAAATATAACGTTGATCTGAAGGATCATTCAAAATATTCATATCTTCGGTTAGCCGATGCAGCAAAGAGAGTCTTCAGTGTCCAACGTTTTATCAGCTTCTGGCTTTACTTCTGAGATACAGTCTCCAGGCTCCGACTCAAATAATACAACAATTCATTCTCGCAGGAAAAGCTCGCTGGCGCTCGATACAGCGGAGAACGGCTTTCAAGAAGTCATGCTTGACCAGAAAGACGAAAAAATGACAAACAATAAACAAAATAGAAAGTGGCTCCGTGTAGCAAGCTTTCTTTTACTTCTTATGTTTGTGACATGGCTCTTTATTCCTAAAGAAAAATCTAACTCTGATTCAGAACAGTCAATTTCTGTTGGTATATTGCAACCTTTCTTACATAATATTTATGTTTTACATACTTTCTCTTTATATTACTTACGATCGAAATCTATTATATTAAAAAATAACATCACAGATCATAGCACGCCTATTCAGGAGGTACAGATTCCTCAAGATACCACTTCAAAAATCACATCTTCTCATTGCACTGTTGCGTATCCAGGGCGGCAATTGATCCAATATGCATTGATGCTTGACGCTGGTTCTACTGGGTCTCGTATTCATGTATATAAATTTAATTATTGTAAAACATCACCTGAATTAGAAGATGAAATATTTCATCATATTCAACCAGGTCTTTCTGCCTACGCTGACGACACTGATGCAGCTGCAAGAAGTTTGGATGAGCTATTGAAGGTAGCTTTGGATAATGTTCATGAAGAATTACACCATTGTACACCAATTGCTGTTAAAGCGACAGCTGGACTACGTTTGTTGGGTCAAGAAAAGAGTGCACGTATTCTGGACGCTGTACATTATCATCTAGAAACAAATTACCCGTTTTACATTGTTGAAGATGATGGTGTTGCGATCATGGATGGTAAAGATGAAGGTATGTATATGTATGCTTTGCATAAAAAAAATCTGTGCTCGGTTCTTGGTCACGTGGCTGGCGATCATAATCTTCGCTAAAATAAAAATTTTCATCATGATATCTCAACAACCACCTGATCAGATTTATAAACTTTTTTTTTTTGAATTCTACAGATTAATATGATCCGAATAAAAAAGTTTCATTGATTTTGGTCAGGTGGTTGCCGAGATATCTTTCTCAAAGTTAGATTGATTTTTTAAAAAATTTTGAATGACCAAATTTGATGAAAATTTTTTATTTGAATTCTATGAATCTATAGATTCAAATAAAAAATTCTTCATCGAATTTGATCAAGTGTGTGTAGAGATATCTTTGCTCAAAATTAAAGAAAATCAAAACGCCCATCAAAATTTGAGTGAAGTTATCTCGACAATTTCGATGAAAATTTTTTTTGTTTAGATTCTACATATTTATAGAATTCAAATAAAAAAGTTTCAATAAATTTAGTTGGGTAGTTGTCAAGATAGCGTCACTCAAAGGTTTAAAAATTAAAATGTGTAGAACTGTTAAATTTTTTTCTCAAACTTTGAGTGAGAACATCTCCATAAGCATCTAACCAAATTCGGTGCAACTTTTTTTATTTAAATCTATGGACATATATATTTCAAATAAAAAAAATTTCATCGAATTTAATTAACTGGTTGTCGAGGTACCTTCGCTCGAAGTTTTGAAAAAATTAAACTACTTATCAAAAATTAAAGTTACGCCAAATTTTCTCAAACTAAGATATCTCGGCAACCACCCGACCAAATTCAATGAAACTTTTTTTGAATTCAAATAAGAAAGTTGAATTTGTTCAGGTGGTTGTTGAGATATCTTGATTAAAAATTTTTAGTGAAGATTGTGATCTTCGTCACGGGATTAAAAACCAAGCCCAGATTTTTTTTATGCGTATGCTTTGTATTTTCCTAAATATTTTACTTTTGACTTGGAATATTCATTTTGTGTTTTTGTATTTAAATTTTACAGGGGTATATGCATGGATTACTGTCAACTATTTATTGGAAAAAATTGGTTCACAAGTAAAATTACAAACAGCCGCGATATTTGATCTTGGTGGTGGGTCAACGCAAATAGTATTTGAACCGGAAATGACGGATGGTGCTGAAGTTGCGGAGGGAGATCATAGATACGAGTTAGAATATGGAGGTCACAAATATGTTCTCTATCAACACTCATATTTACATTATGGACTAATGGAGGCAAGGAAAGCAATTAAAAATTTTGTTGTTGATATATGGCGTGACAGAGATATAAGTTTGATGGAAAATGTTGATTCTGAACAAATTCCTTCAAAAGGCCACGTTCCTCATCCTTGTTTCCCTAAAAATTACACTGAAATATGGCCGTTGCCTGATGAGGATACCACCACGCTTATTGGGACTGGTGCTGGACATGCTCAGTGTCGGTTTATCGTAGAGCAAGTGCTTAATAAAACGAAATCATGCTCTTTATCGCCTTGTTCGTTTAATGGCGTATATCAGCCACCTATCAGCGAAACATTTTCTGACAATGAAATATACATATTTTCATATTTCTACGATCGAGTTAGTCCGTTAGGTATGCCGTCTGAATTTTCTCTAAAAGAGCTTCGGGAACTGACTGATGATGTATGCATTGGAGATATTGAGCAATTCGAACATTTACCGGAGGCGATGAAAGAGCTTCGAAAGAATCCTCATTATTGTATGGATTTATCATTTATATATGGATTATTGCATATTGGGTATGAAATTCCACTAGAAAGAGAGGTTAAGATGGCTAAAAAGATCAAGGGCGTTGAAACTGGATGGTGTCTTGGTGCGGCGATTGCAATATTGGATCAAAAGCAATGGTGTAAATCATCATGAACAATGAGTTATAAACATTGTACGTAAATTATAATATGTAACTAATTCATTAATGCAACAGATAATCAAACCATACTCTTATGGCTAGAATTATTAGAGTGAAATAAAATAAAGAAATCAATTTTGCATGTATTTACATGACTACTGTGACGCTATAACCACGCAAAACACTACTTTTTTTTTTATTATTCAAAAAATAAATATTTTAACTCATTTTAGTCACTATTCTAGCTCATCTTCTTTTTTGCTCTCTTTGAATTTTCCTTATTGAAAAACCAGATAACTGAGAATAATAAGAAACCAACTATCATTGATGCAGCTCCTGTATAATAAGGATATGCAGCAGATATATATCTCGGATATTCATTATGTCTAAAGGGTCTAATTGCTACAACGCTCGAATCTTCAATGTATGAATAGCCAGATCGTTTGTAATTGACCTTAAACGTGAATACACCATAAACATCTGGTAATTGAATATGCGCTTTATATTTTCGTGCTTGCTGTTCTGGCGATATGGGCAATGGTGTAAGAGTTTTTCGAATATAGGGATCCAACATTATGGCTTCAAATTGCACATCGGTGCCATTAAAAGCTTGCCAATGATCATTCACGTATTCGGAAATTTCAATAGTATAGACCTAAATAAATCAAAAAAGATGTTGGCTATTTGTAAATGATAAATAACATAACGAGTTTGTTCTTACAATGTTATCCTTAATACGATAGACTTCTAACTCTTCCGTTTCGTTTTCTTTATGATGATTCCTAGAAGTGACTTTGAGAACTCCTTTTTCTTGAAAAGTCCATTTTGTCAAATCTTTGGCGAAATCCTCATTACCCGACTTGGTAAATCTATAATTTATTTATGGTTGAGAATCAAAATAGGACTAAATAATTTGAATGGAATTAAAACAATGCTTACGATTCTGCAGAATTAGTCCTTTGGATAGGTGAATCGAAAAATCTAAATAATTTAAATCTCTTAGCCGAAATTTAATATACACACCATAGGTATAACCAAAATTTCACCTATCACTGAACAACTCTATGCTTCCAACAAATGTAACTCTTGCATTTTTTCTTGCTTGTAAAGCTGATACAAGCATAACTTTACTTCCCACAACTAATGGTTCTTGGTCCACTTGTTGATCTGCTTTAGTTTCATATGAATAAGCGGTTTCGCCAGCCCATAATATCTTAGTTAGTAATGGTACTGTCCCAATTTTGTGTGCTATGCCCCTAAAAAGCACTGGAGGTCCTTCAATCACGTTTTTGGTTAAAATAGCTTCATTGTTCGTTATGCCTTTCGCAATTATAAGTGTATGCTTCCCATCGTCAGACTTATCATAGTTGAAATGATCTATTACGGAAGTTTCTATATCATCAAAATCAATATCAAATTCTCGGGCAAAATCACGGATCGTTTCTGAAAGTTCTGAAGAAGCTCCTAGAAGTATATTGCCGCCATTGTTTACGAAGTTGAGAAGAGAAAGGGGGTTTACCTTATCCTTATAATCTTTTTTTAAATAAAATTGATATTAGAATATAATTGCAAAGTTTAATGCATTTATGTATTTCAAATTCAACAATCACTTTTTGTCTTTGGTGCAAAATTGATAACGTGGTCATATGCTCGTTCTCCATAAGAAAATAGATCCACATTAGAGTCTGTAGGCAGCTTGTATGTTAGTTTATACTCCCGTTCTAAGATTAACGTTTTTGACAATTCGTATATTTAGAAATTTAATCAGTGAGATTATTGAATTTAATTTTAAATAAAAACTTGAAGGAAATCACCCACCTTCTAGAGAGTTGAAAAATTTACTGTATAATGCTTTGTCATCCTCCTTATCTAGTAATACCAACACACGACTACCCGTCGTTGATTTCGGTTCCACGTGAAAAACGCCCACTGTAAGTACGAAGGCAAAAATGAACAATAAGCATCGCATTATGACCACGAACGATAAGAATTACAAGAAAAGACTTTATCGCGTAGCGTTATAAAATATTATTACCAGATAAACGTGGACCTTAACCATTGGTTCCAAAAAGCTATGGTTTTTGACTATATTGATATCGATATGCATAGCGAACTTTTATTGCGATTGGCTAATTTATTACAGATCAAATTTGTTGGTTTAATATACTGCACGTACGACGTACTAGAGGTTATAACTAGGACCGTCGGGCGAGTTTCAAATATAAAATAATTTGAGAAAAAAAGAGACCAAATCAATGATTTTTTCAAAAAAAAAATTTTTTTTTTTTTTTGTGCCTAATTCAAAATTAATAAAAATCGATACTTTTGAATTTTAAAGTTTGTATTTTTTCATGTCTTTAATATAAATTATATAGTAATTTTTCACAATGCTCATTCTTTTCTCTTTTTCTAGCTTATTTAATTGAAGAGTAAAAGCGAGTATATAGGATTTAACAAAATCAACTAGAGTTGTCATATAACTTTGATCATATAATTAATGTTATCCGACAAACTCATATGATCATGAAAAACTTTCTTTCTGTTATTTTTTTTCATGTGCTACGATGTAATTATGTTTTTCCAATATTCAAAAAAAAAAAAAACTCAGCGAGTGACTCCCTACCAATCATGATCATAAATTGTCGGAAAACACTGAATAACGGCAATTTGGCTCAACCGGACAAATGATTGGCTGACAAGTGCCGTTTCGCGGCACTTGACAGCCAATATCATTTGTCCGGTTGAGCCAAATTGCCGTTCGTTATTCACAAATTTTTGCCCAATAATGTATACATACGTGCGAGTTGTTATAGTATATACAGTATATAGTAATATATAGTATATACATATATATATATATATAGTAATATAACTACGTATATATATATATATATATATATAGTATATATTAGTGCTTGTAGTCGATTTTGCATTAGCCGATAAAATCGTAGCCTTAGTCGATTTTACGATAGATTATTAAAAATTTAGGCCAGTTTATAGTAGAATTTAAAGATTTCTGAAAAGAAAATCAACGAACATAAAAATACGAGCAAAATTGAGACAAAAAATTGAGGAAATCTCCGGTAACTCCCAAAGTTTAATCAAATAGAATTTAGAATAATCGACTCTGACTTAGCCGGTTAAGCCGATTTTAAATATCGACTTAGTCAAGTCGATAAATAATGGTCGACTGCAAACACTAATATATATATAATTACCTCCTCTCTCTATCACGTTTATATTCAAGAACAAATCACTATTAAACTTATGAAAAACCACTTACCGTAAAACGCCGTATAAGGTACCCGGGTATCTTACAATTCACATGATAAAATTTGATTTGTACCCCCCGGGTA